TAATAGGAAAATTTGTGAAACTATTGAACACATTTTTATGCAGTGTCCGAGTGCGGTCTTATTATGGCGACAGTGGGATATCACTTGGAGGAGTCTGACTGGGATATATTGACCGTGGGAATGGCGCGCTATCTTGCTGGGCTATTGGGAACCTATACACTTCGAACTTTCTGAGTTTCAGCGTAATCTGTTTACTATAGGCAGAAAGAAAGTATTATGGGCCCTTTGGTACAAGCGTTGTGTCCTAGCAAGAGATAACGTAGCCTTGGAAGGGGGGGAAATCTATGAGATAATTGTTCAATTTATTCAGACTGAGATCATAGCACAATGGGAAAAAACTATGACCAGATTTCTGAAATTACATCAAAAGAAGGATATACAAGAAACAATTCAAAATTTTGTCTTGAACTGGTTGGGGGAAACTCAAGGGAAGGGCCTGGGTAAGGTGGAGTGGCCAGATGGGGAAGGGATGGAGGAATCTCTCAAGAGGATCTTCCATCTCTGTTTTTTGGACTGGTTCGCGCTGCAGTCAGGATCTTCCCTTAGACCTCAAAATTGTTTTGCAGATCCCTTTCCTCCTTCACAACTTTCTATGGTTGATTTGCAGTGGTTTGGTGGAGAACGACAGTGATTGTTAATTGCTTACACTTTTCTGACGGGCCGGGTAGCTTGTTGTTTTAGACTGACCTGGCGGTCTAGTAAGGACTGAAGAGGCGCCACTGCCCCCATTCATGCTTTATGTATAATGACTCTTTTTTATTCAACGGGGACGCTGGACCCGCTTTCCAAGAGGTGATGCTCCCCACCAATAGACTGGAACCACCCTTAAGGGTAGATAGGAGTGCATGCCTATATCATCATTCCTATCTGTCCCAGAGGGTGCTTTTTATTTAAAAAAAAATAAAAAATGATGTTGATGATGATGATGGTGATGGTGATACTTGATGTTGATTGACCCTCCCCTATCCACCCCTCCTCTTTTCCCCTCTTACCACCCCTTCTCTCCCATGCTGCCTCTGTTGATCAGAACCACTCTGTTGTTGAGCGGTTCCTCACAACCCCAACAATAGGATAGCCTCCCTCTACCCTACTCCTTCGAAGAAGGTTGTTCCCCCAAAAAGCCTACCTCAAGCTATGTTTGTCCTACTTTGCCACCGCAAGTAGATGATGTTCCGCTCTCCCAGCCCCCGAGTTAAACAATCCCCTTTGTCAACCCTTATTCCTTGTAGGCAAACACTTCCCACCTTATGTTTCCCTCGCGGAAAAGAGCTCTCCCCAACTCAATTCACGTGCCCTCCACGTCAGCAATCTGGTGGGGAGGATTTTTACAACCTCAAGTATAGAAAAGTACAGGGAAATAAAAATAGAGAAGATGATGATGAGGATGATGATGGTTCTTGATGTTTCTTCGACCTCCCCAGTCTCCTCCACCTCTTACTCCTCTTACCATCCCACCTCTCCCCTAGCTGCCTCCACTAATTAGAACCATCGTGGTGATGGTAGTTCATCAGCCACAACAAGAGATGAGTCTCCCTCTACCCTTTTTTTTTCTTTTCCTTAAGGATAACGGACCCAGTGCCCAAGGTTGATATTATCAATGAGAAAATTGAGGCCAGGGTCCTCACAATCTATCCGGAAGAACCGAACAGAACCTGCTGAGAACCAGGTTCAACGTCCCTCTTGTATCATTATAATGATGATGATGATTGTAATTTTTCAGGTACTGCTACCTTTTCACCCGTCTCTGGGGCGCCTGATCTTGCTTTGAATTCGAGTAGGTACCATCCAGCTGATTAGGAACGAAAAATATGTTTCCTGCTCCTTGTCGAACCAGCTCAAGAGAACTAAATAGTGGGAGGGGAGGGGGAAAGGGTTTTGGAAATCTGAGAGAGGGCGAAGGGGATTAGCAGGATCCACGCCAGTCCATTCGTGGAAGATCAGGCGATAATCTCTCACAAAGACCTCTCTTTGGTCTTCCTTATTTTCTTTCATCGCCCAATTCCAATTGACTTTGCCTATCTTACCCCCCTGAGTCCTCCCTAGCCAAGCGCCACTGAATTGTTGAATGTGCTGTATGTTTTTTTTTTAGAGGATAAGTCATCTAGTTGTTCATGAGACCAGGTCTCACATAGTACAGCCTTCCAATCCCAAGGCGAACTCACTGAGGGGATTACGGATCTCCAAATTATGTCCCACCATCTCCATAACCAGACTGCGCCTGGCATTGAAGGAATATATGCTCGATGGTTTCAAAAATGTTTCTGGATGGGAAAGCTGTTGAACATGACTTACACTAAGGAAGTGATATGCCTCTCTCCTCTAGAGTAGACCTGTCTATGAGCTTGTCATTGGTGGGGAGGCATCGATAGTCGATCTGCCATTGCAACGAGGCTATCTTTGTGGGTCTGCGTTTTATAGTTTTCACTTTTAAAGTTTAAACCATTTGATTTTTCTAAGTGATTCCTTACTTACATTTAAATGTTTCATCCATCTAGCTTCCACCCTCTCCCTTAATTTCATTATTGGTCTCATTAGGCTGTAAGTTGATTAACTGTCAGAGTGTGAAAAAAACGGGTACATTTTCTTTGTTTCCCCAGTGGAACTGTCCATACCCATGAGAGGGGGTTTAGAGTTAGTTTGTTTATTTGCGCATGCTCGCTTAAAGGCCAGCCAACGGTCCTTGCATTTCAACACTCTGATCCTAAGAACCTGTTCAGATTGGACCCAAATGGTTTCACTTGTTTGGCTTTCCTTCAACGAGTTGTTTTGATTAATGGTAAATAGGAAGAGGAGAGAGGATTCATCATCATTAACTATTACCACATTACCTATATGTAGCGGGTCCCCCTGGGGACTATCCACATAATTCTGACAAATACGACGAACCAAAAAGACACTGTGGGTATACTTAGGCTTTTTTGCACTGAGGCCAGGAATCTGGGGTATCCCACGGACACCCTCATTGAGTCTATTTTGACAATTCGAAGGACTAGGCTACAAAGGACAGTGGCCAAGGAAGTTTTGCACTGGCTACAGATGACTCGGAATGGCTAACCGGGCATAGGATCTCAATAACTGTTTTATGCAGACATAGGGAGTTTTTTTAGTATCGGATATTTAATAATAATTATTATATTTAATTATTTATTTATCCGATACTTTTTTCGGTACCACTGTGACAGGCAGCACTGCTGCAGGGACATATCGGTCGACTTCTGAGAGAGGCAGTTATAGTTATGGAAGGACGGTACCTAGGATAGGGACTGCCTTTTAGAATATTTTTTTTCCAGGATCAGGACTGCATACATACGGAACGAAATTTGGAAAATAGGGGACAGGTATACTGCTCCGACACAACCGGCACAGATAGTACCAGTGTACGTTGGAGTTCCTAAGATAGGAGCGACCTTTAATTTTTTTTTGTGGATGTAACCAGGGAGTGGGACTTCATACATGCGATAGGAACTACCTTGAATGATGACCAGGACTGCATACATTGTCTTTTGTGAGCCCGACGCTCTCAGATGGAGGTCGGAACGGACGTGGTGATTAGAACGAAGTGAAGAAGGCTGGTTAGGGACAGACTGAGACGTTTGGGATAGAGTGTGGCGGATAGGAGGAGAGGCAAGATATATAGGCAGTACCTCAAGTGAGTACGTTGCCTGAGTGGATGAGGCAGAAGGGCGATCCTGTGGCGTACTTATGACACACACAGTTATATATTTTTGCACATTGTGTCCTCCACGAGAGTAAAGCCTCACACATTGTGCTTTTCTACATGAAGTGTGCTTCCATACAACTTATCTCGAGCTGGCGGGCTGATTATGCCCGTTGTGGTCGATAAGCAAACCTCTGGTTTGAAGGCTTTTCAATCCAGAGGATTTTTGTTGCCTCTGTTTGTCTGCAGGTAAGAATGGCATCGTGATGTCAAGTGGTATGCGAGCTTTTCCCGGAGGTGCATACGGGAATTGGACGTGCGTTATCCTTGCGATGATTAAATACTTGGAGCTCCGGTAACAAGAGATCACGTTCTGCGATTGCGGTTGTTGTCGCATGGACGGGTATGAATATATATATGACTCGTTATTGTGATGATTTACATGCGGATTTCAAGAGGAATGTCTCAGCCGCGGGAGTTCGGGCTTGGCAGCCTTTTTGGTGGACGTTATATACGGGCGATGCTCTCAAGTGTTTTGGACCAATACGGAAGCTAACCCGTAAGCGTATCTTTGATTTTGCATCGTTCGCTTATTTATTTGATATTATATTTTATTTATTTATTTATTTATATTTATATTTATTCATTGATTTATATATATATATATATATTTATTCAGGCTTGAGTTGCGGGTTATGATTGGAAGAGGATTATGTATTAGGAGTGATCGTCGACCACGTTCTTTGCTGCAGCAATTTTTAGTGTAGAAGTGCTGATGGTACGCGTGGTCAAGGTTTTAGGAGGAGCTTGATTCTTACTCACTGTTTTTCTGCATACGACTTATTTACTGATTATATGTTGATTCATTTACGTGTACCTGGTGTCAGGAGTTACATCATGATTCATACTTGCCAAGACTTCTCCGCGCAAAATGGGCAGATCAAGGTCACAGTGGAGGTCCATATCACCGAGAAGGAGGTATGAGGACTCAAGGAGAGCAAGATCACCAGGGAGACGTTCTGACCGATCGGATGGGAGTTCATCGGATAGGAGGAAGGAGAAGCATCGCTCAAGGTCGACATCCTCTTCGGAACGAAGGAGAAAGAGGAGAGTGTCGAGAGAACGGGATGATCGTAAGTACGACTTCCCGTACAACAAACCAGCCCCGGGCAACAGGGCGTGGTTGATCGTCGAGCTGCTTGATGAGATGTATGCACTCAGGAGGGAGCTTGATTGACTGAGGAAGAAGGTAGAGAAGTTATGCGACGACGTGAGAGAAGTGAAGGAGAAGCATCTTGCTTCGGGCGTTACTACAGAGCAGCTCAAGGAAGCGGTATAAAAGGCGGTGGATGAGGCTAGTGTGAAACAAGCCTCGTCAGTACCAAGGAGCAGCGCCTCTGCCGAGAACCGCAAGCGCGAGGAAGTCAAGGAAGACACGACGGTAGCAAAGCAGAGAACCTTAAGCGACAACTTGAAGAGATGAGACATATTCGTTTTGACCTGGCAACCCTACGAGGTACAGTAAATGGACTGAAATCACCGGCCTCAAGACAGTTTATCTCTCCACGGGCGATGCAGCGGGTCGATCACCGTACTCCAGCAAAGAGGACGCCGGTGAAGACTGCACCAGGCCCAAGCGGAGGGAAGAAAGCGAAGCTAAGACAAAGCGAAGCTCGCCAGAGGATCGTGCGATCAACTGCCAGGCGAAGGATCCTAGAAGGAAAGCAGATCTCGGAGAATATGCTGCAGAGTTTGCAGATGGGGGATCTCAAGAAGTTGTGCACAAAACACAATATCAAGTATAAGGGCATGTTGCAGGCACGCGTCGCCCTTAGAAAGATTATTAGGGTGATCGTCATGGTTACGGAGGATATGGTGGACCCTGAAGAAAACGGGGAGGAGGCGCAGACGAAGTATCGGCAAGGGGACCACGGGATTAGCGAATCCATGGTTGAGGACGCAGAGGAAGGAGAAGTGAGCGAGTCATCAGAAGATCCGGATGAGGAAGACGAGGAGAATGACGTGGAACCGTCGGCGAACTAGCGGCCGACTGGTCCTTCGGCTACAGGCCTCCCAACTGGGATACAGTGGAGCTTGGCACGGAGATGCAACCTGATGCTGGCAGAACTCATCAAGGAAGGAAGGTGGCAGGAGTGTCGGATCATCAACCGTGTATTTGGAACCACCACAAGAACGCTGCTACTTGAAGGACACATAAAGTGGGGAAGGCAGATCTTGGGACTTCTTCAGAACTACACGGGGACAGATGACGAAGCGACCAAGGTGTGTGTCTACATTTGGCTTTCTCCATGGTGCAGACATTTCTACATTGGCAAGACTGTACGCAGCATACACACGAGGTGGCGGGAACATGTATGATCCATTTGAAAACCCGATCACAAGCAACAACGCAAGCTGTGCTCGCGGGTCGGGAAGTTCGGAGTACATAAGTATGTTTGCCTACCCCTGTGGACGGGAAGTCCGACGGATGCGGAGCAGGTGGAAAGAGCACTCATCCGGAAGTGGGATCCGTATCTCAACATGTCGCACACAGGAGGACGACGAGTAAGAGAAAGACTAAGCACGGTCATAGAGTCACAGACATCGACAGACTTTCGCTAACCGACATACAGGTGTGCTTTACTAATGAGATGGGCTTTAGTTCGACCACACTTACCACTTTGATTAGGCCTGATGCCATCATCCACTCGACCAGTGGATCATTGTGGGTCGAAGGCTGGAAAGTCGTAAAAAGGAGATTCGGGGATTCGATCATGCTGATTGACGGACAAAAGTTAACATTAAGAGAGGGATGAGCAAAAAATGAGGCAGGATGTGTTATAAGAGTGGTATGTTGTGTGCTCACTAATAACCCGTATAGGAAATTAAGATGGAAACTCATCTCTTTTCTGCGAGCACCGTGGACACGTGCAAAGATCTATTGATATACCCTGACGTAGATGATTAAGCTTTACCTGTCTATGAGGTCCATTGCCTCTAAGAAGAGTCGTGGGATCTTACGTGGTTGTTTGTCACGCGTAGCGATAAGGAAGTATCCCGTGAACATCAGGAGACGTATAATATTGAGAGTTCCTTACTCCCCTGAGGTGGACTAAGTAGGAGTTAGGAGGTTGATGGCTCAATCAATCCGAAAACCTGTACAACACAGATACCTAGCACGGGCACTTGAGAGACGGATGAGGGTGATGTTTGCTAAGTCGAGGACGATAGGGGACTTACTACCCAACCATCGAAAGATGGTAAGTAGCCGACCAGAATGTCCGTGTGGGGATTTATCGTTTCCCAAACAGGATGGACATGTATCATTCAGACTTACTGAAATCACTAATCATCCTTTGCTACTCAACTCTAGGAATGTGCCTTTTCATCCAAGTGGAAACTGTGTACATGCCATAAAGAGCGCTATCGCTCGCGCTTTGCATACAATACCGCTACGTTATAGGAAGGAACAAACCTCCGAAGTTGAGGTGGCAGACTGTGTAAGGAGTCGGGGCAACCACATGACTGGGATTAGTATCACGGAGGTGTTCGCACTTAAGAAAAGTTTCCAATCTCTGGTCTGCTCTCCACTGGATCGGAATCCAGGGGAAACTTTCATTGAGTGTCCGATGGTATACCGGGATCGAATGCATACCATGTTTTTTGAAGTGCCCAATTACAGACAGATAGGATCCACGATGGCAGATGTGTTAGATACAACATCTATTACATACAAGGAGGCAGGACTGACTAAGTTTGGACCGTGGTATAGGCAAGGGCAGTATGGGCATGCGTACGTAATTCCCAATGATAAGGATGTGGTTAAGAGACGACCAATTGTTCGAACATTCCAAGAACCCTCATTCAAAGCCTCGGAGCTTCTTGCCAGGTGTGTGAATTTTTTGCTGAATTCCGTGAAAGTTGGATTTGGACTCAGTGAGACTAACGATCTGGTCGCACGGATCGAATAGATCAATGAGCAAGCTAAGTCTTACTTCTCAGATGAGGGTCAAGTTTCTTGTTGTACATTCAATGTGAAAGAGATGTTCACATGTCTGGAGCATAGCCACATCGAAAGAGCAATGGATTGGCTAGTTTGTCAACACCTTGAGACGCAGAACACACATTTGAGAATCAAGATGCAGGGGAAGAAGATTGGCATGGGAAAAGCGAAGGGAGTCTGGGGTTGGAAGACTGTAAAGGTGAGAGATCTGCCAAAGCTGCTACGCTTCGATATCTTGCACGCTTACTTTCTGGTGCAAGGAACATTGATGAAACAAGTACAAGGGATTCCAATGAGAAAAGGGTCGAGCCCACCGATCACTAACTTGGTATGCACATATGGTGAATATTGTTGGCAACATTCCCTGGGGATGGACGAGTCATTCCTGCATGGGATACAGTTTGTCGATGACGTCTTTTTAGCCATCATCCACCACAAGAATGATATGGACACGACACGACGACTGATCGAGCAATTCAGGCAGTGCTACCATCCATCACCAAAGATTGAGGAGACAGCCAACTTGCAGGACGATAAGTTGAAGTATCTGGAAACTGAAATTCGAAAGAATGATGGACAACCCCTCCTGAAGTGTTTTCATCGGCTTAAGAACGAAGAAGCACTTCGTGAGGGGTTTTCTGGGCGCTTTCGCACGATAAAACACTTCAGGAGTTTTGACCCTAAAAAATCTAAGTCCCTTACGATACTGGGGACTATCCACAAAATTCTGACAAATACGACGGACCAAAAAGACACTGTGGGTATACTTAGGCATTTTTGCACCGAAGCCAGGAATTTGGGGTATCCCACAGACACCCTCATTGAGTCTATTTTGGCAATCCGAAGTACAAGGCTACAGAAGGGACGCTGGACCCGCTTTCTAGCAGGTGATGCTCCCCACCAATAGATGGAGCCACTCCCTAGGTGCTAGTGGTGTCTGCTCTTATTAGCACCACTAACACTGGTGACAGTGGCCAAGGAAGTTTTGCACTGGCTACAGACGACTCAGAATGGCTAACCGGGTATAGGATCTTAGTAACTGTTTTATGCAGACATAGGGAGTTTTTGTAGTACCGGATATTTAATAATAATTATTATATTTAATTATTTATTTATCCGATAAGTTTTTCGGTACCACTATGGCAGGCAGCACCGCTGCAGGGACATATCGGTCGACTTCCGAGAGAGGCAGTTTAATAGTTCTGGAAGGACGGTACCTAGGATAGGGACTGCCTTTTAGAAGATTTTTTTTTCCAGGATCAGGACTGCATACATACGGAACGAAATTTGGAAAATAGGGGACAAGTATACTGCTCCGACACAACCGGCACGGACAGTACCAGTGTACGTTGGAGTTCCTAAGATAGGAGCGACCTTCAATCTTTTTTGTGGATGTAACCAGGGAGTGGGACTACATACATGCGATAGGAACTACCTTGAATGATGACCAGGACTGCATAAATTGTCTTTTGAGAGCCCGTCGCTCTCAGATGGAGGTCAAAACAGACGTGGTAATTAGAACGAAGTGAAGAAGGCTGGTTAGGGACGGACTGAGACGTTTGGGATAGAGTGTGGCGGATAGGAGGAGAGGCAAGATATATAGGCAGTACCTCAAGTGAGTATGTCGCCTGAGTGGACGAGGCTGAAGGGCGATGCTGTGGCGTACTTGTGACGCACACAATTATATATTTTTGCACATTGTGTCCTCCACGAGAGTAAAGCCTCACACATTGTGCTTTTCTACATGAAGTGTGCTTTGAGTTTTGGGTCTTTCCTAAGGATCCTGAACCATTAAATGGGGATTGATTCTATGATTTTTTCTAGTGCCCCTGCCGATCCTCTACAATATCTTAGAGAAGGCATGAGATCCGTGGTAGAGTACCAGTCCTTAGTTTCTGGATTCCAAATATCTCATATCCTGAGGATGTCCTTCTTCATTCATCCCTTCTAGGGAGACTCCAAGCAGTGAAAAGTCCTACCTTGAGAGTCAGCGATCCATCTGTTGTTAAAAAGGGGTTGTTGACAGACCTCTTCCCATCGTTTGGGTGCAACCTTGTCCGGTAGAGGTAATTTGCGCCAAGTCTTGAGTAGCTCTGGCCAAAATGGATAATTTTTGATATCCCTTTGTGTAGCCTGACGATGTGCTTCTGATGTCTGGCCTGAGGGTTGTGTTCCACCTCTGGGGATAGACCAACAACGGTTCTCCAACCATAACAAAGGGTCTGTCCCTTTCGGGACCTTTGGGGCTAGTCGTGAGATTTGTTGCTCTGCTAGCCATGTTGGGGGGGGGAACCTCTTCACCCTGAACTTGGCGCCAGATACCTGCTGCTGCACACTGGTTCCTCCCTCCCCCTACCTTTTGAGATACACTCTCGTAATGAGCATGATGGGGAATCATTGGGGATTAGGGCGTACTACTCATTTTGATTTTTTTTTTAATTATTATTATTATTATTATTTTTTAACCGAAACATCTGTGGCAACCTGCTATTGGAGGTGATACGAGCATCCTCCAATAGCAAGCCCCAATTTATAGATGGCTCCAATCTAGGTGGGGAGCATCACCTGCTGGAAACCGGGTCCAGCGTCCCACTAACAAGATTGAAGACGATATACCTGACGGAACAACATTGATTGCCCTCTCTCTCGAGGGGATTGAATGTCCTCCCAATTATCAGTCAGGTCACAACATATATGAAAATCTAGCCATGGGGAGGGTGGCAAACTCTCCTCCGATCATCCTAATTCCTCACAGTCATAACCGTGCAAAGCAAACCCTAGGCCCCCTCCGTGCATGAGGCCGCTGCCCAGCTCCATGATTCACATTTTCCTCCAGCGGAGGATGTTTGCCTACCCTCCCTTATCGTAAGCTATTCACCCAGCGAAGATCGGTCTCACAAGATTGTTTTTATCAAATTACTGGCAGAGGATAGCAACATCCGCGACATATTTCATTCTTGTTATTATTAGTATTATCACACATCTGCCATGCATACTCTTCCCACTACCATTTCGCCAACCAGAGTTCTGCCCATCCCTTATTAATTGTCTTATCTCCTCCCCCTATCCCCCACCCAACCTCTCGCTCCTCTCCATCGTGCCCCCCACCAGGGA